TCTTGGAGTCTCTGGGGGCAGGCCCCTGTCGACGAGCTGGCCTCGGAGATTAAGGAGGCCTCTCGATTTTCAAGCGTCTGGTTTAGGGTTTAGGGTTTAGGGTTTAGGGTTTAGGGTTTTTCCGGCTTTCTTTCGATCCTGACTTCTGCAGGCCTTCGTTTCCAACTGGGGCGTGTTGGCGGAGGGCCAGGAGAAGATGAAGTGTCTGATGTTTTGCCTTTCTACAAGGGTCCGTGAAGTAGTGCTCTCAGGGCAACCTGCGGCTACTCTACTGGAGTCCCGCGGCCGGGTGCATAACATTCATGTTCATGTCGCTGCAGCGGTGCGCAGACTGCATTGCGTGGCCTTGAGATTCACCTGGGTGTGGTCCGCTGTGCTACACACCTCGCGAGCCAACTTCGTGCCTCTCTGACGATGATGTGCCACTCTCAGCAAAGGCAATTGAGGACAGAGCTGACACAGCTGACACAAGTGGCCACAGAAAGTGCACCCGCCGTCATCCGAGGACCCTCCTGGGAGGTGTGCCTGTGCAGGTTTCTGCTGGAAGCCCGGAAGAGCAAGTGCTGTCAGCTCTTTGACGAACCTCTCTGGAGATTGACGTGCTTGGGGCAGCTGTCCTGATACGCCGATTTCGAAAGTGGAGCTTGCTGAGGTTCACCTGCTGACAGGAGAAGTGCAAAATGCGCTTCGGTGCGGCAGAGAGCTGCTGTGCAGGCACGGAAGGCTTATGCCATATGCAATCTTGTCCGGCGCAAAAGCTTTTTCGGCACCAGGTGGCAGCGGGCGGCGCTGGAGCGTGCTGGACCGGCCGAGCAAGCTGCCGTTCGCCAGGCCATTATGCTGGCGCCCTTTTTCAAGGCACTGAAGTTGACACTGGATCGGCACAGGGCTTCGAGACAGAGCTCCGCCTGCTGTCCGAGGCTAGCCATGCATGCCTTATCTTTCTGTTACTTTTGCTCTGGGCTCCTTGTGCTGTCCGTACTGTTGCATGCCTGGCCCGGCGACAGAACCACAGGTGAAGTCCAGCCACGTTGCCGCCTTCGGCCGAGTGGGCGAATGATGCGCCAAGGAGGGCGAGTGAAGAACCGCCGGGACAAGTCTTCGAGCTGTGCTGTGTAAAGCAGAGATTCACGGAGCTCAAGATTGGGCACTTGTCAGCACCGTGTGGACTTGAAGAGACAGCGACCAGCAGGTCTTGTCTGAGTGGAAAGAGGCACAACGAGGTGGAGGCTGCCCTGCGACGAGTTGCCCGCACGGAGACGATCGGCTTGCTGTCCCGAAGTCAGGGAAACGCGGACGCAAAATGCAGAGCTCATGACTTGCTGCGGGCATCTTGCTTGAATTGTTGTTGTTTATCATGCAAGTTTGGGCTCAGGACCCTAGTACAAGAATGCGCAATCGGTCATGGCGAGTAGCACTTCTGTGTAGTCGTTTCAGATCTTTCAGTCTGAGTATCTAAGTGGTGATTCAGTTGGTCTACCTGCAGCATGGATAGGTGGTAACGTGAAGCTTTTCAGATCTTTTCAGCAAGCCCAGAGCAAGCCAACACCCACGACCAGTATGGTTCAATAGCATATAGGTTAGTGGACATGCAAAGTGATATGAACACTTTACGCTTGTTCCCGATCGTGAGATCATCCAGCTTCCGGCACGAGCATACCTGGTCTGCAGCGATGCGGTGAGGGCCGCACGTTCCCCGTGCGTCGGGGATATGAAGCCGCGGACGCCGGGAAGTTCAGAGCGCCTTGAGCGCCGTCTGGAGGCCTTTGAGTCCGGGGCATTGGAACAGGTTGACAACTGCCAGACAAGTCGACAGAATCAGCAGCCTTCTTGCGCATGATCTTTCTCCGGCAAGGCAGAAAAGAAGAAGAAAGCCCTGGCCAAAGCCGCGAGTGGTGCTTCCCTGAGTCGTCTTTTCGGCTTCAAAGCGCCTTTCCCTAAACCCTAAACCCTTTTCTTGGGATCGTCTTTGCACTCTCGGAGGCTCTTCGGAGCCCCCTCCGACTGCGGCTGCGCCTGTGGCGCTCAGGCGCCGGGCCTCCCTGGCCCTGCGTCAGGCGCAGGGCTTCGGCTTTCGGTTTAAGGGGCTTTTTTTGCTGGTTTACGGTCCACTTACGCTTACCCTTGCCTTTATAAAACGGGAGGTGATCGTGAGTGGGACGGAGACAGCGCTGAAGGCCGCCATCGCCCACGGCTTGATGTTTCGCACTCTGTGTCGTCTTGCCAGGTGAGGACAGGAGGCTTAGTTCAGGACGCTCTTGCTGTGATGGCTTCTGTCAGACGTACGCTTGCTGCCTGAGTTTCGTCATGGCTCATGGCTGCAGGACTTCTTGCGCAGAGATGAGGAAGCAGGTGTCGCTTGACATGCCCAGCCTGACGCCTGCGGCTCCTCTTCCCTGCAGCCTCGAGGCAGACTGCTCGGTGACGATTCCAATCGCTGCTTAATTGATGCTTGGCGCAGTGGGATGGGCAGAAAACAAGCTTGTTGCAACCTAAACCCTAAACCCTAAAGCCCGTCGCATGACTGTCAAGGATTCCTCGGGAAGCGAGGATGATGCGGTGAAGGCAGCGGCCATTCCACAATGCTTCGGGCTCCTACCGGAGGTGCTAGGATCTGCGAAGACTCGTAGACCTGGCAGAGGAAGCATCACCGACCTCACCGGGGAAGGATCGGAGGCAGATGTCAAATGTGGACTTTGATGACATACCTCTCCTTCGGAGACAGTTTTCATGCTGATGGCTGAGGCGGCACGGCATCTTTGCCGACCGTTCCTTCTGGCGCCGGGCCAGGCCCTTGCGCAGATCCCCCCACGCAGATCGTCGCGGGCCTCTGGCCAGGGTGTTGGCCCCGGTTTGCCGGGCAGGCAGATCGCGTGTTTCGAGTACACTTGCGAGCGGCTCCGGAACAACGTGAACACCTTCTGGAAGGAGAGCACGCTTTCTTTTTTGCGGCGTTCTGCGCGTCTCCCGGCAGTCCCAAGCTTTTTTGGAGGAGCGGTTAGCAGATTCCATTGATGGGCGCAAACGTGCCCGTGCACAGGCAAAGGCTCCTTGACCTCCAGAATGCCGAGAGTAAACTAGGGCGTCAGCTCGAGTCGATTCTAAGTAAGACGCTGCTTTCTGGCACCTGTCCTCGCGGCTGAGTGCGCAAATGTGCAAGTTTGCGCAGCTTTGAGCGTGGGGGCAATACTGAGGAGATTTATTTGGTTGTGTGCCGTCTCCGTGGCCTTCAGGAGGCAGGCTCCGCTTTGAGAGCCGAGCCAAGCATCCGCTTCCGCTTCCGGAGAGCGCCCCAGCAAGTCTCAGTCGCAAGTGCAGGCTGTGAACCGACAGTGCGAGTTGTTGGCCTTCCGGCATGCCCTGCGTGACCGCCGATGCCAGGCAGCATTAGACTGTGTGGTCGTCCCTACCAGCCCTACTAGTAGTCAGAAAAGGGGGCCTGGTTCCCTATTATCGACTACATCCCGAATCTCTCCTCGAATTTCAAGACGAATACAATAAACTTGTACAGCCCCGCTACTCGTATCAGATTCATCAGGACACGTATGGACACGTCCTTTGTCCGCAGGTCGGTATGCTGTTTGATCCTGCTGGTGTTCTGTTGCCCAGGAGAGGCGGAGGCCGCGCTGACAACGAAGCTCCACAGGCAGTTCCGTGCTGGCGACAATGGACCACATGCCTTCTGGAGCATCTACCACAAGGATCGGCACAGCATGGCACAGCTCAGCAAAGTACATCGTCCGCAGTTCACGCATGACAGGAAGACAGCAAGTGGATGCTTCCGGCACCGTCCTCCATTACGTCGCTCAGCTTGACTGTGTCCCACTGTTTTCTTGACTCGCTCGTAACTGCATGGATGTTTCCTCATGCATGAACTTCCAGGGGCAAGCAGGAACAGAAGGAGCCCTACAAGCCAGCCTACAACAGGCGTGGCTATGCATCTTAGATGGAATTGCACAAGAGAGTTGGAATAACTTGAGCTGCAATGAGCAACAACTGGTTTCTTCACGATATCATGTAGCGATGAGCCAGGCAGCTTCCGGATGCCAAGCTCGTGGCAAACCCCGGAGCCACCCAGGACGGCGGGTGTGGGCGCGGGGGTGGCAGAAGTGCAGCAGGAAAGAGCGAAAATTCGGAGTTTGACACCCGAAGCGGCACAACGCATGGCACCCGCACGCAGGTATGAAGCGAAGTCACGAATCATGGATTGTAGAAACACGACGGTGCTGGTTCATACTGGTTCTGAGCTCTGTTGCTCTCTCGAGGTCGTGTTGGCTGGTTTTCGCTGCCTGCCTTCACCGCTCTTCTTTCGTCTGTAACTGTACAAGCTGGAGTCAGGCTTGTTGTGCACCACCCCCTCGGATTGATCAGAAAGTGGCCGCAGGAGTGAGTTTGCCAGTCGCGCGTCTCTACATTTTCCAAATCCTTTGCGATGTTGCGTTTGGTGGCAAGGGACTGCGACGAACGAGGGGGGCGGAGTGTGAGTTTGTGCAGCGCCACACACTTACTCAGGAGTCAGAGCCTTCCAGCCACGGCCACGCCTCTCTCAACTCGAAGCGCTCGCAGGCAGCGCGCAAGGCCCCTTCCTCAGCCCTGGCCCTGGGCTGCCTTTGGGATTCTGCGAGCCTCCATTAAAAGTTGCCTTTGTGCAGGTCATTCAGCATAGGCGGGACATCAATCAAAAGCGCCTCCCGGCGGTGTCCGAGGCAAGCGAGCCCCAGAACCTGGCAGATTTAAGGCTTTTAGGGTTTA